AGAATTCACCCACTGGCATAGTGCCTAAGGTACTTGACTATTAACCAGAAGGGTGGTGGTTCAAGCCCAGCAGCCACTCCTCGGAAGGAAGGTTGGGCAATCTACTTCCGTAGTGATGCTGCCTCAGAAACCCAAGGAGGGGTCTCTATGAGTCAGGTCCAACGGGACAGCACACAACAACAACAACAAGAATTTGTAAGACATTCTATGATAATAATCTGCTACCACAGTTTCATTTTATGTCAAAAATTCCTTCAGGTTATGCTGTTGTTTCTATAGTAAAATTATTTTTGTTCGAATTCACTTTATTTTCTCATAAGCCCATTGACATTTTCTCTTCTGTATGGAACTACTACTTGATTCCATCTTTGATCACCTTGTCCTTTTCACTGGTCAGTTCTCATCTTTCATGGTGCTTCCTCTGGGAAATTTTCCCTAATCTCAGCAATACCTTCTTATGTACTCCCCCTAGCAGCCCACCATTCATGTAGTAATGATAATGCTATGGAAATTTAAAGTAAATTTCCAATTTCTCCTAGAGCTTTACATTCTTTTAATAAAAAGACTCATCTCACTCACCTTAAATATGTAACAAAATGGGCAATGATTTGAATATAAGGCAAGTGATTTGAAGACAAGAAATGGAAGCCCCTTGAAGTTCTTGTGAATCCAAAACTGATTTACTCCTAGAAACAGGACAGATAAATGTGCAATTGGAATCCATAAACTCTAGGATAAACCAAGGCGATGAGATCTCTGAAAGCACTTGTATACCATTGATCTTTGAAGTTAATAATGGGAAGGACATGCACAGATTTTCTAATCCTGAATCCAAGGATTCTGGTGGTTACGTAACCAAGCCTTGGCATTCCACACCAGCTAATATTTGAGTTTCCAGTGTTCCTGTCCCATCCCTGGGGAAACGCCTGAAAAGCCTCAAGACATTGGTTGAGTTGCCCAGCTCTACTCTGAAAGAGGAGGGGGAGGGGAGACCAGGGAGTTCCTTGGGCAGTAAGAGAGCTGAAACTCTGGGGAGGATTTGAACATGTATGAACTCTCTTATTGCAGTCTCTTGAACAGACTTGGAGGTGGAAACATCTGGACTGACTCCTTACATAAGGCAGACTGGACTGAGTCCTTACATAAGACAGAAATAGGTCCCTATTCCAGCAATGGGACTGTGAAGTGGGTGAGTACAAGGAACAGAAATATGTAATGATCCTTCTTCCTTCTGATTTTAGATACAGACAAGGAAATAAAGAAAAAATTTTCTAGGAGGTTGCAGAGATGGAGAGATCCCAGCTAACATGGGCTATACCTAGAGTCCAGAATTTCCTTCTTTTCATTAGATGTGTTCAAGGTACTGTTTCATTTGGGGTTTCTAAACAGGAAGTCTTGGATATATATAAGGATTATTGTGAATTAAATATGACTTTGTGTACTCCTATCTATTTATTTAGGTAAAGGCTTATTTATAGCTTTCATTAGATGCAAACAACAACCCTTGAAATGGAATTTTTCTTCTTTTTCTTTTTCTTTGTTTATTTTCTATAAAGTACTACTTTCTTGAGAAGGGCATAGTTTGTTGCCACTAGGATTCATGGTGGAAAGGCCTAAGGCCCTGGTACTGGACATCTCACCCTAGAATCTATGTGGCCTATCCCCATTCCATTTGGGATGAATGGAATGTATATTGAAAGTAAATTAGGTAGACACAGAGTCACATTGTCTTGCCTGTTGATTTGTTTGCTTGGACTACTTGCTGAATTCATTATTTTCTCTTAAGTCCCAGATATCTTTTCTGTCCTTCCTTTTCTTGCTCTCACAGGTTCTCTCTGTCCCTTGTCCTTTTCATGTAACCATTTGGGGCCAAGTTATTCTCTCAGATTGAGTTCATTGGGCTGGTTGTTCCCATGCAGGCATGTGCACACGTGAGTGTGTGTGTGGAGTATTGTTATATCATCTAGGAATCCTCTTTGCCTGGAAAAATATGCCATCATCTGAAAATCAGTTAGTGGAATACCTAAAAAGAGGCTGAGAATAGGGCTCAGATCTGAGCTTTTTCCTATTTCAGCATCTTGGAAGTTTTTGAGACCTCCATGAGCATAAAAATTCAGGGTGGTCATTGAGTCCAATTATAAACTGAAATTCAACATTGTGAACGTTTTCAGGACAGGGACTGTGCTAATTAAATGCTTATTCCTGCAATCAATGTGGTGGCAACCACGAAGTCCGTGCTTAGTAATTCTGTGCTAAGTCAAAAGAATAATATTTGCATTAGTCCCAGATGATATTGAGGAGTGGTGCTTCTATAGGTGTTTATACCTTCATGCATAAGGCACCCCCTTGTATTGATAAGCCCGGACCTTAGGAAGCCACTAAAGAAAATGCATGTTCTAAGTTGGAAGCTACTACCAATTTCAGGACCATAGCTGCCATACATCCATGTAGACAAACTAGTTCTTGAACTTGTGAAGTAATTTTATTAATGTTGTTGTTATTGTTAAATGCCATTGAGTTGAATTTTATTAATAGCTGTCAATAAACAAACCCATACCTAATCATGCTCTTTGTATGGAATTTTTGCTATGTAAGTTAAGTAAGGATGTATGTAGTATGGTCCTAGGCTTGAGGAAAATAGCTGTAATGGACCTTGATCTGATGGCAATATCTTGTGTTCCTAGAAGTCCCACACACCTACCAAATGAAAAAGAAAGAAAGAAAAAGAAAAATTCACTGCCATCAAGTTGTCGTTTCTGACTCATAAAGTCCCCCATTGGGTTTCTGAGGCTGTAAATCTTTATGGAAGTAAATCATCCTGTCTTTCTTCCATGGAACAGCTAGTGAGTTTGAATCATTGACCTTCCGGTTAGCAGTCAAGTACCTTATCCACTAGTCCTGGACAAGTTTCTTCTTGCATTTTTCCTTTATTGCAGAAGGTTAAGGGACATGGCTAGCTTTTCACATTCTTAGAGCCCTTGTAGCTATTATTTTGAGCCAAGCCTAATTGTGTAAGGAAATGTGGCCTCCCTGTTTCTCAAAGTTTTTCTCCTAATAGAAATTGTAAATGTGCACACCACTTTTTGTCTTAAGTTATATTACTAATTTCTGAGAAGACCCAGTTAATTTTCAGAGAGTAGCTGACAAAATTTCCCAAGTTTTATAAAGTCTCTTGAGGTTGGAAAACTAGATAATCATTTAGAAATTATTTTCTTAATGAATCCAGGACTTTATGTCTTTCTGCTATTTTTGCTTTCAGAATGTCATTGTTGTTAGTTGTCGTTGAATTGATTCCAACACATGGTGATGCTCTAATTCTCTACCTACCTGCCTTTTAAAAGTTGCTTTTCCATGTTTTTGAATCTAAATATGTTTTTGAGATTAGAACAACGCTTGTAAAATAATAATTTAAATCTCCTTTTGACTTAAATGTCTTTTAACTTCTGGGAACTCCCAGCTTTAGTAATTTTATTTCTATTAGCACCAGTCTCATACAGATGTACCTCAGAGCATTTCTTCACAAAAGAATTGGATGATTTATGATTTATTCTCATTGTGATCTGTTTCTTATACTATGGCCATCTTAGGAAGGATGGAAGCATTCCATTGATCAATGCCAAGACCTGCTGTCATGCTCTGAATTTACAGTAAAAGTAACTGCAACAGTAGGTAATGGGTCTTTTGGTTTTGGGTTGGAGCACACAAGAAAATTAAAATAGTGGTGATAACTGGCATTCTTAGGCTGTGCAGATATTGGAGTATGACCAGCCACATATCTGTAATAACTCACTAGGAATTAAGTGTCAGAAGAAAAGGCAAGAGAAAAGTGGAGACCTAAAGGAAGAATGTTGTTGTTTTTGTTGTTATGTGCCGTCGAGACGGACCCGACTCATAGCGACCTCTCCTTGGGTTTCCGAAACAGTATCGTTACGGAAGTAGATTGCCCCATCTTCCTTCGGAGGAGTGGCTGGTGGGTTTGAACCGCCATCCTTCTGGTTATCAGTCAAGTGCCTTAGGCACTACGCTGTCAGAGGAAGAATATTAGCATTTAATTCTGCTAAATTATTTTGGAATGGGAAAGATGTAGAAAGAAAACCAGTGAGTGATGAAGGAGGAATAGCAACAACAACAACAAAAAAATCTGTGAGTAGATCTGGAAGAAGTAGGAAATTAGCCAAGTACAGAAATCAAAACATGTCTGTCTTCAAAGATGGAATGGATATGAAATGTGTAGAGCGCTGCTTCTCAAACATTACTGCAAAAATAATCACCTGGGGATCATGGTAAAAAGCAAATTTTGTGTGAGTAGGTCTGAGGTTGGACATGAGGCTGCATGGCTAAAAAACTCACATGCTTGGTAGGTGTTGTTGCCTTATAGACCACATCTCTGATAGCCAGGCTGTAGAAAAGTGGTAACTGTTCAAGTGACAAAGCAATTAGAAGTGATAATGATATTTGTTAAATTCCTTAAGAGGCTGATATTGAATTTCAAAAAGGAACTAAGAAAGCTGAAAAGCATATCTTTATCATGATTGTGAAATATAAATATAAAATTAAAATTAAATGTGGCTAAAAAAATCAGCAATCACAAGAAAGCAGATAAACAAGGCTATTCATTTAATTTATTTATCGTGTTTGTTGTTATTATCACTATGCTACAGAATGTTTTTTTAGCATACACATATAGTGAGGTCTGATGTTTCAAGCAAAATTAATTAGGACTTTTTAAAAAAATTTGTGAATATTTTGAATACTAATCTAGTATTTTCCTATAATTAAGAAAAACAAACAAACAAAAGCAACCTTCTATTTCTCATCTCCAATGCAGCCTACAAATCTCTACTCTCCTTCTACAGGTAAATAATTGCAGAACTATACTTATCATATGAATTAATTATCTACAGATCTGAAGATTGTGATTGAGGAAACCACCTTTGCCCTGAAAACAACTGGTCTCCTGAGTCCATAGTTTCCACTTGTTCTCCAGCTTTAGGCCCACTATGTGGCCCAATATTAGTGTGGTCCCCTTTCTGTTGACTGGCTTCCCAGGTCTAGAGGCAGCTCATCACTGGATCTCCATCCCTTTCTTCGTAGTCTACTTCTCTGTGCTTCCCGGCAATGGCACACTCCTTTACCTCATTAAAGATGACCACAGTCTCCATGAACCCATGTACTATTTCCTGGCCATGCTGGCAGGCACAGACCTAATGGTGACACTGACCACCATGCCTACTGTCATGGGTGTATTATGGATGAATTACAGGAAGATAAGTCATGGGGCCTGCTTCTTGCAGGCCTACTTCATCCATTCCCTTTCCATTGTAGAGTCAGGTATCTTGCTTGCCATGGCCTATGACCGTTTCCTTGCGATCTGTAATCCCTTGAGATATACATCCATTCTCACCAATACTCTGCTGATAAAATTAGGGGTGGGAGTATTTATGAGGGGTTTTGTATCCATCGTGCCTGTAATCATTCGTCTTTTTTCATTTCCGTATTGTCACTCTCATGTTCTCTCCCATGCTTTCTGTCTTCACCAAGAGGTCATGAAACTAGCTTGTGCTGATATAACCTTCAATAGACTCTATCCTGTAATTCTGGTCTCTTTAACAGTCTTCCTAGACTCTCTGATAATTCTTTTTTCCTATATCCTAATTCTTAAGACTGTCATGGGAATTGCGTCTGGTGAAGAGAGAGCAAAAGCCCTCAACACTTGTATCTCCCACGTCAGTTGTGTTCTCATCTTCTATGTTACTGTAATCGGTCTGTCATTCATTCACCGGTTTGGAAAGAATGTGCCACAGGTGGTTCATGTTATCATGAGCTATGTCTACTTCCTCTTCCCTCCTTTAATGAATCCTATTATCTATAGCATCAAGACCAAACAAATTCAACATGGCATTCTTCGCCTTTTGTCTAAACACAGATTTGGAAGTTAAACTTCAGTGTGGATAATTGTCCATGGAAGATGTCGGGTGTATAAGTGTTCTCTGAATAAAGGGCCAAAACTTCTACTATGTCTTAAAACCTGCTGTGGGAATTCCTCATCCCTAAATGAGGCAATGTTATTTATAAAGCTTTGTAGAA